TATTTTTGTGCCAGTACTAAACTGTTTTGATTACTACAGCCTTATAATAAAGTTTGAAGTCTGGTAAATTGATACCTCCCATTTTGCTTTTATTGCCTAGAATTGTTTTTGCTACGGCAGTTCATTTTATCCGACCATTGTGGTGAATGCTTGCGATTGTCAAAAAAAAATCTATTTTTCATCACACATAATGATACAATGTAGAAATGATTTTCCTTTATATCGTGACAGCAAAGAAGGGCAAGCTTTGAGACGATTTCTCTTCTGATGCTCGTTTGATGCGTGTGGAACCCATCTACCCAGCTTCTCTACCTTGCCGATTTGTTTCAAATGGTCCAATATTGTTGGAATAGTAACATCAAACCTTGGTGCTAATTCACACATAGGTTGCAATGGATTTGCTTCCACTACAGCTTTCAAGCTCATCATTATCCATCTTGAACTCAGGTCACGCACATGGCTCACTTTTAAAATTAAAACTGCCAGAATGGAACTTCTCAAACCATTGATGTGTACTATGTGTTCATTAACCACATCCTTCCCAAATACTTCGATGATATTTCAAGATGTTTACATTGCATTGGTTCCATGATGGAACTCATATTCAAAAATAACACGAATTATGTGAATGGTTTCACAAAAATTGCTCCAAAAAAAATGTGAAAGGTAATCAGAAGCCAAAATGTGTGTTTGAAAGACTGAGAATGTACCTTCACAACAGAAAATAAAACAAGTAGTGTCAAAGTGAAATGTCAGAGATATCAACTGTCAAACTTAGTACTTAAGGAAATTGGACATTTCATACTTAATGACCTAATATAAGAAAAGGAAATTTCTGTGTGTTTACTGGTTTTCATTGTTTATTGGTGAGTGAAAGTTGAAACCTGGTTTAGTCATAAGGTACTAATATATGTGAGCACTTTGTTATCAAACCCAGACTTGAAATCATCCTGGGTCTCTTCAGAGAGTGTGATGGGGTAAATGGACCAAAATTCTGTGCATTCCATAAAACTCCAAGACTAGAAACCTGCTTTTCCCCTAGTGAACACCATAGTTCTGGGCTAAGCCTGTCTAACTGAGACAAGTTTGCTGCCAGTGGGCTCCTCTATATTCCCTGTGAGTTCAGAGGACATGAAGGTGACCTTTTCATGGGGTCATCAGGGAAGGTGCCGAGAGAAGGTGGGATTTCTCCCAGGGTGTGAGTAGCAACGAATACAAGTAGAAGAAATGATTTGTGCCCTGCACTACCTTACACTCAGCATCTGGACATGGAGGGATAGATTGCACAAATGGAGACATATGATTAGACATAGCTGTAGACAATGGATTATATCTCTGACAGGAGAGAGTTTGCTCTTCAATTGGTTGTAGCAATGAGCTGTGAAATAAGGAGACATGGTCAGCCTATGCTTTACCAAGAGTAACTAGTGTTGATGTGCACTGGGTATTGAACTGGCAGAGGTAGAAGAGGGAAACAAAGGTACTTTTGTGGGAGTTTCAAAGAGGTGCCAGCTCCTGTCCTTTGTTGCTCAGGGATTTGTGTTGGCAAGGAGAAGCTGCAGAAATCGCCTTTGAGAGAATTACTAAAAGATACTCTTTCCTCTAGACAAATCCCCCACCCCAGAACACACTATTAGGAGACTGGAACTTGGGCTGGATTCAGCTCCATCTGGGTACTCTTGTGTAGGATATTGTCATTTACAGTGGCTCTGTCAGAAATTCTAGGTCTTGGATCAAAAAGCCAGAAAGGACATTGTACGCATGTCTCATTTCCGCATAGAAGTCTATAAACTGCAAATGTCCTTCCTGTCCTGATGAGAATTCGTCTTTTGACGCTGTCTTTGACTCTGCTTGGTCCTTTGTCCGTGCTTTCCTCTGAATCCATGTTTACTACCTTCTTCTGTCCCTCCCCTTGTTCCTCTCTCTGCCTCTTCCCTTGCTTGATATACAACTTTGTACCTGGGATTGAGTCCTCTTAAAGGGAGTGTAACAGTACCACTTCATCCACTCAGTGCCCTGGGAGATCTGCCCCATGAAGTACTGGTACCATGAGCACAACACAGCAGCATGTGTCCTTAGTGTGCACATAATGGGTTTCTGACACTTTTTGTATACGGTACGTGTTATAATTTATCTTGTGGAGAGGTCTGGGAATATCCTTTATCATATTATCAACAGCATTGTGCCATAATAAAGAAATATTTGGTTAGTGCAGGAACTTCTTTTTTAGACAGGGTCTTGCTCTGTCACCCAGGCTAGAGTGCAGTGGCACAATCATAGCTCACTGCAGTCCTCCAGCCTCAGCCTCCCAAAGTGCTGGCATTAAAGGCATGAGCCACTGCACCCAGCCAGTGCAGGAACTCTTAAGATGTTCTTACATTATAAGTTATAGCTTCAGTTAATTGCTAACTCTTAAAAACCAGTGATGATTTTCTTTCATAGACATTTTCATTTTAATGTCAGCATCATTTAAAAAAACTTTTCTTAATCACCTAAAAGATTAAGAAGATTAGGGTAGTTGTGATTTGTATAACCTAATGTAAAGGGCAGCAGGCGTTCCATCACATTCCCCAATGAGTCTTCCGTACATGCTGCCTATTTACAAACATACCTTCACCCAGCCTTCATACCTAGGTAGGTAAAGGGAAGAGTTTGTTCTAATGTTTATCTGTCTGCAGCCCAGGAGAAATTTCACCTTCTTAGGGAACCTTCTCTGATGACTTCATTCAAGTTACCTTCTTCTCTGAACTCAAGCATTGGATTTGGGGGAGTGTTTTAGATTGCTATATATTAATTTATAGAGAACAAGTAACAAACTGATTAGGCCCAAATTCAAAGAACTTTTCATATATATCTTCAACACCAACAGAAACATAGCCTTAATTGTATGTTCCTGAATGTGTTTTTTAAAAAATGATATTAATATTTCAGCCTGATCTTGAACAATATGATCTCCTTGGTTCAGAAAGTATAATCCCCTCCTTGGGTCTAGTCCTTAGAAAGTGGTAAAGAAGGGTAGCTGGCATGCTACCCTTGGGTGGTGATAATCGAAGAGTTGCAGAAATGCATTTTTAAGTTTACATGCCTTGTTTATTATTAAAGGGAAAGAGTATATTTTGTAGTTTTCAGAACTTTCCTTATTTATAAAACTACTGTTTGAGAAACAAAGATTCCTAAGTAATTTATTTAACTTGATACTTTTACCAAAGATTTCTGATAATGTACTCAAAGAAATGAACATTGCATTATTTTTTAGCCTATAGGGTTTTTTTTCCCAGTTTATAACAGTCATTTTTGTGGGGGGTATGTTTTAGGGCATCATTCAGAAGATAGTGGACAGTCACAAAGTGAAGCACGTGGCCTGCTACGGATTCCGCCTCAGTCATCTGCGGTCAGAGGAGGTTCACTGGCTTCACGTGGATATGGGCGTCTCCAGTGTGAGGGAGAAGTATGAGCTTGCCCACCCACCAGAAGAGTGGAAGTAAGATGCAAACCTACTTTGGTGTGATGCACACTTGATTTGTTATGTGTATTGAAAACATACATAAGAGGATGGATGGGTATGCTTAATTTTCACACCGCTTGTCATTACAACTCCTGTATAAACAAAATTGGTTAGTAACTAATAACCAGTCATCTCTTCTGTCTGGCTTTGGGGGATGATTAACTTTACATTCCTTGAACCATCTGATTTCAGTCAACTGTGACGGGTCTTTTGCCAGTCACATTTCTCATCCGTGTTGCTTTGTTTCAGTCTTTGCTCTAAATAGAACTGAAGCCTCAAATCTTTTTATTTTCTCATCTTTTGTCATCCTTTAATGTAGCAGGACCTGATGTGCCTATGAGGAGACCACACCTAATTACTGTATCAATGGGTTATGTAACTTTATTATGCCCAATAATCTAGAGCTCACCTACAAAGAATGGGTGTATATTTGATATTCAAATGCAATATTAAAATAATTAGGAAGTGATCTCTTAGTGGCTCCTACTGAAACGTTAGGGAAACTGAAATTATTTCAAAGTGAATTAAAAGAATTCTCTATAATTGTTGGCCACTCATAATGGCTCACATCTATAATCCCAGCATTTGGGAGTGAGGCGGGAGGATGGCTTGAGCCCAGGAGTTCAAGATCAGGCCAGGCAACATAGCAAGACCTTCGTCTCTACAAAAAATTTTAAAAATTAGCTGAGTGTGGTGGCATGTGCCTGTAATCCTAGCTGTTTAAGAGGCTGAGGCGGGAAGATCACTTGAGCCCAGGAGTTTGAGGCTGCAGTGAGTTATAATCACACTACCTGCACTCCAGCCCAGGCAACAGAGTGAGACGCTGTCTCCAAAAAAAAAAAAAAAAATTCCCTGTAAGTGTCTTTTTCTCCTTGTTCTCCCCCTAATAATTTTTTTCATTATTAAATAAATCAAGATGTAAGTTGGAAATCGTACATCTAAAATACTTACTTTTGAGAACGGGCTAACTTGTAAAAATGGGCTTCCTCCACTGGTGGTCTTGTTTTTATAGAAAATGCTGCAGAAATAAAGATAATTATAGATTGAAGAGTACATTCAGAGTGTAACTTACATTCCAAGACTCTAGATCGATGAGACTAGACATTTTTACAGTAAAACCAATGTGTTTAGGTAAACAAATCCTAAATTGAATCAAATGTCTGATTTACAGAGTTCATTGAAGAAATATAGTTGTATTTTCGAATTTATCAAATAGAACCAAGCTAACAAAATATTCCTTGAGAATTTAGTTTGGTTGGTTTATACCAGTGGCTGGAGAGGATCTGTAGTTAGTTAAGTAAGTATTTAAAATGTAAGAATATCTAAAAGTTAGAGGCTTGATATGGTGGCTTACGCCTGGAATCCTAGCATTCTGGGTGGCCAAGGCAGGATGATAGCTTGAGCTCAGCAGTTTGAGACCAGCTTGAGCAAGAGCGAGACCCGGTCTCTAATAAAAATAGAAAAAATTAGCCAGGTGTGGTGGTGCACACCTGTAGTAGTCCCAGCTACTCGGGAGGCTGAGGCAGGAGGTTCGCTTGAGCCCAGGAGTTTGAGGTTGCTGTGAGCTAGGCTGACGCCACGGCACTCGAGTGAGACTATGTCTCAAAAAAAAAATATCTAAAAGTTAGATAAAAATTCTTGCAGGAATTTTTATTGAATATAATTCTTTTTTTTTTTTAAAGACAAGGTCTCACTCTGTTTCCCAGGCTAGAGTGCAGTGGCGTGATTATAGCTTAGTTCACTATAACCTCAAACTCCTGGGCTAAAATATCCCCTGCCCCAGCCTCCTGAGTAACTGGGACTACAGGTGTGTGCTACCACACCTGGCTAGTATTTAACACAATTCTTTTATCTTCTTAGTTTATATAGACATGCCAGCAGTAAATGTCATGATGGTATTCTTAGTGCTCAATAAAACATTTATTAAATCTAAATCTGAGTATACTGTTTTGTTTTTGTTCTTTTAAGCCAATTTATTTTGCCATATTTCAAGTAAAATTGAATAGGTATTACTTTACGTAATGGGTCCTAAATCTTCAAAAGTAAAAAAAAATTAAAGCTGAGTTAAATAGAACTTCTCATAAATTGACCCTGCTTGAATGAAGAGTCAAGATGCTGCTGATGACACAGATGTATTATCCTGATGAGTCCCTGCTGAAGCCAGCCATTATGCGAGCTATAAGCTATTTATAAGAGAGGCTTGCAAATGTACATTTCATTAAACTCTTTCCAAACCTTATGAGTTAGACTGTTGTAGTCTATGTTTCACAGGTAAAAACAGAGGCATAGCAAAATTAATAAACTTTCAGTCACATAAATAATTTGTGACACAATTTTGATTTGACTTTAGCTGTCTGACTTTATGGTACAGGTTTTTAAAGTCAGTATGCCTATCATACAGGAATAATGTTGTCTTAAAAACTTGGAAAATATAGCTAGGTGTTTAAGATTAGTGAAAGTTGCATGGGTAAGTAGGTAGAGGTGATGACAGAAAATGTAATGGAGATAAAACTGACATATGGTACTTCCAAGAGTATCAGGGCGAATACTGATTGTTCTGTATGTTTAAAAAGGAAGGAATTTAAAGTGTCAGTAGGGAACAGGAGAATATCAAGAGTAACCAAGCAGATTTGTATCCATCCAAATAGAAGTTCTAGAAATCATAGGATAGGTAAAATAGCAGATTAGACATAGCTGAAAAATTAGTAAACAAGAAGGTGGATCAGAGAAAATTGCCCAAGACATAGCTTAGAGAGGTGAACAGATGGAAAATTGAAAGCAAGTATATGTAATATGATGAATGAAAAGGTCAGCCCATTTCTAATAGAAACTTCAGATGAAAATGAAAATGGGGAAAAGGAAGTAATCCCAAGAGATTATGGTTGAGAATATTCTAGAATCAATGAATGATAGGAGTCCTCAAATACAGGATTAACATAAAATTCCAGAGTTAATAAATTTAAGTAGACACTTTGGCAGGTTTTAGTAAAATACTGTACTAGAGAACAAGACAGGATATTAAAATCAACCAGAAAAAATTCAGACTTTTCATCAGTAATAATAGATGCTAAGAATACAATGAAATAATATGTTCAAAGCAGTGAGAAAAAACTGGTAACCTATTATTTGTTTGCCCACTAACCATTGCCCTGAGATTACTATTCATAACAGGGTGAGACAGAGACATTTTCCTTAGAGAATTTACCACCAAAGGAACCTCTGACAAAAATACTTCAGGAAAAAGGAAAACGATCTCTAAGGAAGGTTTCAGTTACAAGAAGGAAAAAATTGGGTAGATCTAAATATACACTGACTCCATTAAACAAACATAATGATAAGAACTGATTTTTAATTTGAAGAATTTTCACGGGTAAAACATAAGCATAGAAAAGGAACAAAGTACACCAGGCAAATGGTAACCTGGGAGAGAGAAGATTGGTATTGCCCTATTAATAGCCTATGAAAAAAGTCTGTCTTTTTTGTTTCATAAGAGATACTTACTCTGGATGAAAAAAGTCTTTAAAACATTTTTTTAAAAGCATAATTAGGGATATAGAGGGCAATTATATAATAATAGAAGGTACATTTCACCAAGAATTTAATAAATATTCTTCACTTAGCTTTCTGGACACAAGAGTGTTCTGGTTTTCCTCCTGCTCCACTGACCATTCATAGTTTTCCCTTGCTTAGCCTTTTAAGTTTTGGAGTGCTCCAGTAACCTCTTTTCTTCTCTGTCTACTCTCCCTAGACCTGCCTTTGGCATTAAATTCACATATTTAATTGGGTGAACACAGGGAACCTGATAAACAAGTATTGTAGTAACCCAGGCAAAGATCATAAGCAGTGGTGGAGCAGGGGAGTAGCAATGGAAGTGGTGATGTCCAGGGATGTATGGCTGCTTCTCCGGGGATATGTTTTTAAGGCAGAGCTGCTGGGATTTGCTGAGGGATCTCCTAGAGTGTAAGCCATCCAATTAAATGTATAAATCATTTGGGCTCAGAAACTTCTCATAGCTCCTCATCATACCCAGAGCAAACCTCAGAGTTTCTGATTACATCCCAGTCCTTCTTTTCTTCTTTCCTTCATCTATTGTAGTGACATTGGTCCTTTTGAAATTTCAGTTTTCCGTTAAACTAATACATTTTAGGATTATTTTCGTAAATGCTCAGGATCTGATTTGGTGGTTTCCAACTTTGTTAATTGTTGGATCGTATAGCCCTCCATCTTAACTAATGCTTCCTTTGTCTTGTCTCCCTTTTTGCCTTTATCTTTTACAACTTTTCACTTACTGGACTCTAGCCGCCACTGGCCTTCTCAACATGAACACCCATGCATGTTGCTTAGTGGGGCCTTTGAACTTGATGTGACTCTGCTGTCCTTTCCAAGCATGGCTTGAACCTCCCCTCATTCCAGGCACATGCTCAGTGGTCACCACTTCACTGTGGCATTCCTGGTCATCTGTCTAAAGAACTCTTGCCTACCCAGTGCTTCTCATCGACTTGTCAGGACTGATAATCATAGATGTGCTTATCCTTCTCCCTCAGGGACTTATCTTATTCATTGCTCTATTCCTGTTTCTAGTTGTGCCTGGTATATAATACACACTCAGTAAAAAATATTTGAATGAAAACTGAATGAATGTATCGATAATGTAATTGTAAAATAAGCCAAAATATGATGATGTATAAACTTTAATTAGGAACCAAACAGCATTAGTTTAAGTTATTAATAATAACAGTATTACCATATTAACACATGTCACTTACTATGTGTGAGACAGATCATTAAGCACTTGAGATATTTTATCAAAAATTAGTTCACATTGTGACAGTTTGATAAGTAGGTACTCTCCTTTTGCCATTTTACTTGTGAGAAAGCTGTGGTTTAGAGAGGCTTAATAGCTTTCCCCAGAGGTCATATGACTTAAATGGGTGGCAGAGTGGAAATGGAATCTATGCACTCGGCTGTTTCTTCTC